TAATCTGAACAATAAAGATTTTTTAAAAAATGTATGTGTCTAATATTGTGTGTGTATGTGTGTGTGCATGTTGATAGATAGAGGGAGTAGGAAACATTTTCTGCAAGAAGAAGCAAGAAACTCAGAGGCTTTGGGAAAGGAGAAAACTTGATGTTCCTAGGGAACAGAGAGGGCCCTGAGAAGTTGGAGTTTACTGGTCCAAGAAAATTAATAGAACATGGGGTCTGACAGGCAGACAAAGGTCACGTCATGTAGAATCTTGTAAGGCATGAAAGGAGTCTAGATTTTGTTCAAAGTGAAGCAACTGATGAATTAGTGGCAGACGAATGCCATATTCAAGTTACATTTTTAGTATATTACCATGACTACTGGGCAAGTAACTATTGTTCTAGACTCAAGAAACTGCTTGGGAAGTTTCTTGTGGTTGTTCACATGAGAGCTGTGGTGGCCCTGTTTGGATGCTGGCTAAGATAATAGAGAAAAGTAAATAGATTTAATATATATGTTGAAAGTGTAACTTTTATACATGCTATGAAATGAATGCAGGAGGTTATTGATACAACTAAGTGGGTGTATGATATTGTTGTGTATAATAAGGACAAGGACTATTGGGCTCAAAGTATGTAGGTGGAGGGGAAGAGGGACACAATTTAGAAATTCACTGTGTGTGTACTAGACAGGCATGCCAATTAGAAATCCACATGAAGATTTTAAATTTAACAGTTGAAAAAAAGTTGTGTGGATTTCAGAGGAGAGGTCAAAGCTAGAGATATGAATTTGGAAAAAAAATCAATATTTAATTGGTGTGTAAAGCTACACAGCAAAATGAAATCACCCCAAGAGATATGGAGGGAGAACAGAACCCAAACCTAATCGTAGAGGTACTGCAATATATATATATACCTTACAGTATAAAAAGCTGAGAGAAAAGAAGACAAAAAAGTAGAAGGAGAAAATCTGGGGGAAACCAAGATGGCGGCATAGGTTAACGCTGGAGATTGCTGCCTCGAACAACCACTTCAAAAAAAAACAACTAAAGACGGAATGGACATCATCCAGAACCACAGGAAGGCTGGCTGAGTGGAAATTCTACAACTAGGAGGAAAGAGAATATCATACCCAGACTCAGAGGAGGCACAATGCTGAAGTGAAATACTCAGGTGGGGAGTGCGCGCGAGCGGGCTGGCGGCGAGGGCACAGTTGTTGTTTTCAATCGGGAGGGAGTTTCAGACTCTGAGCTCCAGATCCGGGCGAGACTCTAGGGACCCAGACTCAAACGGGAGAAGCGGGACTGTCTGGCTTCGGTCAGAACTAGAAGGCAGCTTTCTCTCCAAGGTTTGCAGCGGTTGCTGGGACTCTGTGAGGCAGAGCCCCTAGGGACAGAACTGAGAGCAGCCATAACTGCTTGCTCCGGCCCGGACTGTAGATCCTCGGGGACCCGCCCCGCCCAAGCCCTGCACAGAGCCATTTGCCTGATAGCCTCAGGCAAACGCTAGATTAGCACCACCCTAGAGATCCAGCACAGAAGCTCTCCCACTGCAGACACAGCGGACTCTCATAGCCAGTTAGCCTGGAGGTCAAATCACCCCTGGTATTGCCGACATCAATCAAGGCTGTAACTACAACAAGACTGCGCACAAAGACCACTAGGGGGTGTACCAAGAAAGCATAAAAAATGCGGAGACAAAGAAACAGGACAAAACTGTCAATGGAGGATATTGAGTTCAAAACCACACTTTTAAAGTCTCTTAAGAACTGTCTAGAAGCCGCCGATAAATGTAGTGAGATCCTCAAGAAAACTAATGAGACCCTCGATGTTATGATAAAGAACCAACTAGAAATTAAGCATACACGGACTGAAATAACGAATACTATACAGACTCCCAACAGCCGACCAGAGGAGCGCAAGAATCAAGGCAAAGATTTGAAATGCGAAGAAGCAAAAAACACCCAACCAGAAAAGCAAAATGAAAAAAGAATCCGAAAATACGAAGATAATGTAAGGAGCCTCTGGGACAGCTTCAAGCATACCAACATCAGAATTATAGGGGTGCCAGAAGATGAGAGAGAGCAAGATATTGAAAACCTATTTGAAGAAATAATGACAGAAAACTTCCCCTACCTGGTGAAAGAAATAGACTTACAGGTTCCGGAAGTGCAGAGAACCCCAAACAAAAGGAATTGAAAGAGGACCACACCAAGACACATCATAATTAAAAGGCCAAGAGCAAAAGACAAAGAGAGAATCTTAAAAGCAGCAAGAGAAAGAAACTCAGTTACCTACAAGGGAATACCCATACAACTGTCAGCTGATTTCTCAACAGAAACATTGCAGGCCAGAAGGGAGTGGCAAGAAATATTCAAAGTGATGAATACCAAGAACCTACAACCAAGATTACTTTATCCAGCAAAGCTATCATTCAGAACTGAAGGTCAGATAAAGAGTTTCACAGATAAGGAAAAGCTAAAGGAGTTCATCACCACCAAACCAGTATTATGTGAAATGCTGAAAGGTATCCTTTAAGAAGAGGAAGAAGAAGAAAAAGGTAAAGATACAAATTATGAACAACAAACATGCATCTATCAACAAGTGAATCTAAGAATCAAGTGAATAATCTGGTGATCATAATAGAATCAGGGACATAGAAAGGGAATGGACTGACTATTCTTGGGGGGGAAAGGGGTGTGGGAGATGCGGGAAGAGACTGGACAAAAATCGTGCACCTATGGATGAGGACAGTGGGTGGGGAGTGTGGGCGGAGGGTGGGGCAGGAACTGGGAGGAGGGGAGTTATGGGGGGAAAAAAGAGGAACAAATGTAATAATCTGAACAATAAAGATTTAATTTTAAAAAAAAAGTAGAAGGAAAAGCAGGCAAACGAAATGTCACAAATAAGAGTTGGAGAGAGAGAATAAAAGTGATTTGAAAAAAAATTTGGTCAATTTATGCTAAAATTTTGACAAGAAGAAAACAAGGCCAGATTACAGTGTGTAAGAAAGAAAAGGGAAGATAAGAAAGTAATTAGATGCCAATAGTGTAACATGTCAAGAAGTTTTGCCACTGAAAAATGGAACCACAGAAGAAGCGTGAGTCACTGTTCCAGTGCATCTTGTACTTAGTGTGCAAATAAATCCCCTGGGACTCTTGTGACAACTCATATTATGATTCTGTAGCTTGGAGATTTTACATGTCTAAGAAGTTTCTCATTGAGATGCATGATACATACAGGTCAACACAGTTAAGCAGCAAGGCTATATACTATTTAGTGAAAGATGAAAGTTGTAGAAGTTTATGTACAGGTGAGGTACACAGGATTAGACTGTCAAATCACGCCCACAGAAATCAGAAATATTTTCTAGTGTCAAGCTTTACTAATAATTTTAAAAATACACAAGTGAAAAAGAAGTCTGGGACATAATTCATAACTCCTTTGCCACATGGAACACGTTCTCTGGACCAAAATAATAAATGAGTCTTTTTTCAAACACAAAAAAACACAGACTCCTCCAAGAGGTATTTATGGGTTATTGCTTCTCTGGTGAGAGCATTTACATTCTGAAACATCTCTATTTATATGCAGAGAGTTATGTAGCTTACATGATAGTCTCATAAACTGTCTCAGAAACCCAAACATTCTGGACTATTAAATTCATGCACGCTTAAGTCCCTAGGCCTGGCCATCTACCAGGGCCAATTGGGGCCTTCCTTCCGGCTGCCGGCCCGAGCCTTGCTTCATTCTGAGCTTTCCCCTGGTGGTCAGCAAACCTCGTAGCGAGCGATTGAAATCCCGGTCTCCTGGTCAAACTATCGAGGGGACACTTTGCATATTAGCCTTTTATATATATAGATAAGAAATCCTTTAGGCAGGGGCATCTTGATGACCGCATTCTGTAAGTAAGGTATCTTACTCTAGCAAATATCATGTCTATCAGGTCAAGTTGACAATTAATTTTGACCACACCATCTGTTTTCCTTTCCTTCCCCTAAGATCAGCACCCCAAGAGAAGGAAGTGAATGAGTCACAGGCCAGCTGCCTTCATTCTCCCCAACAGGGTTAGGTGAAATCCTCATTCTCTATCCCCTCCTACATCCTACATAAACCACCAACAAATTCTTGAGTGAGAATTATGGGAGTAAACACTTCTATTCTCTCCCTCTAATCTTGCTACTCCTCTCTAGAAAAGATGTGACTATCTGGTGAGACGGAGGAGAGCCTTCAATTATAGGACCTTACCACCAGCTAGTGGGGTCAGTTGCTAAACAAAAGCTCTCTCCTCTCTCTATTTGCCTGGTTCAGCTTAGCCAGGTGTTCTGCCAAAGCAGATTCTGCCTGTAGAATCTCCTCAGAACAAGAAGGTGGTTCACAGTAGTTGGTACAGTTAGTGCAGGTGGGAATTGGAAGGGCCTAAGAGAGCTGCTTTTGAGAAGGGCAGGGCCTCGAAAGAAAAGTCGTGCTCCTAATTTGTCTCCTTGAGTTCTTAAATACACTGGACTGAAGAGCAGATGAGTGTAAAAATTCCCCCTCCTAACCTCAAGCATATTCTTTCTAAAAAGCATGGTGTGCACGTGTGTGTGTGTGTGTGTGTGTGTGTGTGTGTGTGAAGTAAGAAGGGAGGGCAAGTGAGAGGGGTAGAGAGATGGGTAGGAGACCAGATAGAGGAATTTCATCTTCTTTAACATACATACAGAAATTTTGGGAAGTTTACACTCCCAATCCAACCCCAATAACATGTTTATCCTTCTTGTACACTATTCTCCCTTAACAACATGTATCAAGATCTGGGAATGGAAAATACCTCCTCTCCAAGACCCACTATGGACAAACCCAACTCCCATCATTGATGCTAACCAAGCTAAGGAAATGCTACTGGCACCTCAAAGCATTTATAATCCTGCATCTAGTATTTATGGTACCTCTATCCTTGAGAGTGTCTAGGGAACAAGTGCTCCTAGTGAGGAGGCACAGGAGCTTGGAAGCATCAGTGAGTCCTCACCTTCATTTTTTCCTCTCTCTGTGTACAATGCCTTGTTCTGAGTCTCCAATAACCCCACTTTCTTCCAACAGGAGGATCTCTGTTTACTATATTATGTGTATCTGTGTCAGGAAATTCAACCTGAGATTCACAAAGACACAATAGAAAAGTAACCCACTAGAGAGATGTTGGGCAAGGATGGAGAATAAAATGAAGTCTCTCATTACACAGGAAATAATGAACTAGAGGATATACCACATTATCACACCGTTCAATAATTTCCAATAGCAGAAGAGGGGGAAAACCTTCACAATTAATTACTGAAATAATATATTCATGTTTGCAGTCCGTAATTTTTTGTGTTTTAGAGTTTAAAAAAATGTTATGAAGAAAAATGAGAAAATATAGTTAAATTAATAGTTCAATTGGTTCAAAAGTGCAAAAAATCTATCAGTAGGTGAACATTTAAATTAACACTAATATATAGAATATTAGTCCATAAAGAAAATATTTCCTATTTATATGTATTAATGTGGAATGATGCTCAGAGTTTAAGTGAAAAAGCAAGTTGTAAAACACAATGTATAAAAGATTGGAGTTGTTTTTTAAATTCCATATTACGTGTGTGTACATAAGTATATAAATAAAATATGTGTACATACATAGAAAAAAACACAAGGAAAAACACACAATAAATTGTCAATCACAGTTACCTTTGTAAAGTAATATTGGGTATGTAGAGAGGTCAGATAGATCTATATTTTTTCCTTTATATGCTTTTGTTTTAGAGAGAACAGAAGGAAAAACACAGAACTACACATGGATATATTTTCCTTTAGTTAAGCTGAGTCAGGAATATTAATAATGTTGCCTAAAGGAACCATGTGACTCCATAGAAATGTAGCCTTCACTGTATAGGGAGCGATTTTGGTACTCTCTTGTGCATCAGTTTTTCTCTCCAACAGATTAATTTCATCGGCATCCTAACAAAAAAATTATAAACTATGTGTTCAAAGCAGTTTCCCTTGCTCTCACATCCCTCCAGAAACCATCCCATTTCTCTGCTCGCTTTTTCCTTACTTCTTGTTTTCTCTTTAATCCACTTCAGTGTACTTTTTATCCCATTACTTCTCTTGTTCTTGTCACCCGTGACCACTATATTGCCAGACCCAATGACACTTCTCTGCCTTCCTCTCTCTTTACTGCTCAACAGGATTGGATAGGTTAGTGACCATTTCCTCATCCTTAAAACACTTTTTTCACTAGACTTCCATGTTATCTAAGACACTTATTATCTGATTGTAGTAGCATCTTCTTGGCCTTCTCTACTGGATCTTCTTTCTTTGCCAACCAGGCAGTCCTCGGGTTACGTCGAACTCCGGCGTACGTGGTTTTGTGGTTATGTGGCCATCTCCCGTTTATTTATATAAAAAAAAAGTTCCGTCATTTCGACGTATGTACATATGTGCTTTATGTTTTTTATTATTTATTTACCACAAGTAAAGGTCAGGAATTGTTATCTTTCTTTTAAATTTTTTTTACTGTTTCATTTCATTACTGCTGTGTATGTGCTCCATGTGAGTGACGTAGGTGCTTATGTAGGTGGGTTCTGACTTACAGTGAAAATCGCGTTACATCGCCCCATAGGAATGGATCTGCGACATAACCCAGGACCTACTGTATTCCCTAATGCTGGAGTTTCCTGGATTCAATCCTTAAATCTCTTCTCTACCCACATTCATTCTGTATGTGTTTACATCTGACCCCATGGCTCTAAATACTGTGGGCAATAGTTCAGAGTAATGCCGGCTTCTGTGGTAAATTCCCAAATTACAGTAAATAAACAAAATAAAAGTTTAATTCCTACATAACAAATTAATACATGTCTTCTGTCATGTGAACTATTATTTAAGAAAGAATTAGGAATCTTATGATCAAAAGTGTTTTATATAACTTTCTCTTTCAATTCCTATTCCCACTGTAGGAACTTGACTTTTTAAGTTATTCTTTGTTAATTGATGCATTATTACTACCATTAGTAATATGATTATAGAGGGGGTAGTCCCACATGAGCCTATACTTACCACAAGGCAGGGTACACAAGCATCACATGAAAGTTTAGTGGGTACAAAACTGGATAGAATGCATACAAACAAGCAGATCCACTGGGAAGGATGTAGTTTGATTGGGGCAACCAAGTTAGTAGATCAATATAGAGAAGCTACTTTAATTCAAGGCAAGGCCAAAGCTCTTATGAATGAATATTCAAATCCATCTGATACTTTCACAGTTTTTGCCAATTTCACAGGTATAAGTGGAATGGAAAGAGCACATGAATTTTAAACACATTGTCAAGAAAGCAGAGAATGTGTAATATTCAGAGAAAATGGCCAAAGTTCAGATTGTACAAATTTAAAAATTAGCTCAGCAGCATGAAAAATTAATTAACTGATTTCACTGCATAATAACTATAATAATGACATTCAATGTGAAGATATGTCAATATTCTAGATGCTTTTCATAACTCAGCATACATATAATAATTCTATAACACAGGAACTAATTTCCCTTTGAACAGATGAGGGAACTGAGGGACAAAGTGATTAAGTGGCTTGTTCAATTTCATAGTAAGCTCCTGGTTTCAAACCAAGGAAATCTAGCTCCAAAGTTTATGATCCTGAACAACATGCAATACTATCTCCAAAATATTAGGACCATGAATTTTCAAAAGATGAAAGAGTAGGATTAACATTTATAGAATTCACACTCTTACTATTTCTGAACTTTGAAAAATTAATATTTAATACCTATGACCAATACTGGGTTGTAGATATTTCAGAAAATCTGCTTTAAAAGAAAAACCTCTAAAGAAATATCAAAAAGAAACAACCATGCCATCTTATAGGTAATGGCAATGTTTCAGTTGCCATGTTAATAAGCAATAACAAATATCAATTTGAAACCTTCAAGTCTAAGGAATGTTTAATCACAATTAACTACTGAATTTTAGTGCTATTCCTTAGTAGTATCATTACCAAACAGTAAAACATGGAATACCATATTTCTTCTACCTCAAGTACACACACCTTATCAGGGAAACAAGACATCTAAATAAATTGCTGGCATAGAGTAAAAATTTAACTATGAAGCAGTATAGCAAAATATTCCAGAGAATTAACAGAAATTAAACAATGACCATGTTTCATTAGCCAATGATGTGCCCACCATAAATTCTACTGCCAGAGTTGTTATTGAAGTCCATATCGTCTATTTATCCACCTGCCCTATGAATACTGGAGACAAAAATAACACTTGCTTATTTTTTTCACATTAATTATAGATTCCTCATTATATGACTAAGTTACCCAATTCAGGATGAGAACAGAATGGTAGTGATACAGAATGTTTGGACTGGAACCCAGATTCTTTGTCCATTGGAATCGAAGAATGAATCCACGGACAGAAGATGAGATAGCAAAGGTGGAGATTTATTGAAGAACAAGTACAGATTTCCACGTGGAGACGGGGAAAGGGTCCCAATGAGTTTCTTTTCCCTACAGCTTATAAAGGCTGCAGATCTTGGTGCCTTGATATCCCTTCTTTTTGGTCACTATTCCCTTAGACTGGTTACTATAGTAACTCCTGGGCTCAAAGGTTAAACCTCACATGGGACATGTGAGGTTCCCCCCCCCTCCTTCCTTATTGTTTTTCTATTCCCTTTGGGCTTTCTTCATCTCCTTCTGGATGAAGGGCTTCCTTCTCTTATTTTGTAAATAGAGACCTTTTGCTGTTCCCATCTCCCTCATTCTATGGAAATGCACCTGTTGCAGTTTTTCAGCTTCCCTATTCTATGGAAATATACCTTCTGCTGCTCTGCAGCCCTGTGCTTCTTCTATTGTCCCCTTAATTTCTAAAATTTCCTAAAATCGGTCTTTTTCACCCCAAAAATTCCTGTTTCAGTAGACAGGGTATATTCTAGTCAAACACATCATTCTTCCCTATTGTTCTAAAATTACTTTGACTTCTCCAGAAGTCTTATTAGTGTCAAATGGATTCCTTGCAGGCCCTTTCCAGTTCTTCTGCAGACAAGACTATATGTGGGTACTATGGTCTCACCACTGCTTACACTCAGCATGGGCCACTGCTTCTTACCTCATTGTCTTTGGATCTCATATATTAAACACCTGTCTTTTGCTAGGTTCTTATCTGGATGGAATGAAGCTTTAGTTCCTCTCTGGATTATATATAAGATTTTAAGGATCTATAAACTCATTAAATAGCACTTCTTCACAATAATGCTGTCAATAATTCTTAATAAATATTTTTTGAAAATACTAAAAAAGTGAAAATAATTTTAGAAAATCATTAGTAAGAATCTCACCAATAAGAAATTATTCCAAAAGGCTTATTTTAAAACTACTGCATATAACTAAAATCAAATTTTTCACTATAAATATATATTTTAGATTAAACTCTCCTATAAAAATATGAATGTCATCATATTTTATTCTTAGCTATTTCATTATTATTGAATATCAAGTTGATAATTTTTCATTGGTGTAAATAAAACCAGTGAAAACTTTAATGTAGAAAATGGTCCTTCTGTCTGATTTTTGTCTTTAACATTAATTAGTAGTGTGGAATTAATAAACCAAGCAACAAAGTATTTCCCCCTTTGTAAGTCTATTGTTATATATATTAAACTTGTGTCCTGAAAAGGCACTCTCACTGGGAATGTACAAAATACCCAACTACCAAACCATCAACTTTATGCATGTCCCCACTTACATTTTTCTGATTAGATGAGTGAACATAATATCTTGTTCCATAAACTTAAATTTATTTGATAACTTCCAGTGACAAATGATTTTTACTTTTTATATTAATATGACTCTGATGAATTCTCCAGAGAGTGTGGTATGAGCTATATATTTATTCAACCTACTCTTTTCACATGTTTCCTAATTCATTCACTTCAGCTCTAATTTTATAGTTTCATTCTTTCTTTATATCTTTAAGCCTTTTGTAGGTGTTCCTTTTCTTAATCCTTATTTGAAAGTCAAATTTATGAATTTTCTAGCATTCTAATAAATAATTTACTTTTTAGAATAGCTTTGGGTATGAGGTACTTTGTTTTCATGTCAATATTTTTTGTATAGCTGACCATTTGTATTAATTTGGGAATATATTTTTAAATTTTTATAGTTTAGATATTGCCAATTTAACTTTCATTAATCTCAATTTTACTGCATTCTGGTCATAAAATATGGTCTGTATAATTTCTATTGATCATCTATGCAAATGTTTCAGGTCAACTTATTAAGATAAAAAAATAGCCACTCCTATTCCCTCTCACCAAGTGAATTTACTTCAGAGCATTCATCATTGTAGTTACATAATTCTTAGCATATTCACTTGCTTATTTTGTCTTCCCCACTCTGCTGTTAGCTCTATAAAAATAGCTATTGGGATATATGCTTTGTTCACCACCAATTCCCAGAACCTAACTGTGTTTCTATTTTGAAAACAAAAGAATTAAGGGAAGTGTCCAAGAGGTGGTCATAGAGTGAGGGCTAGAAAGGTGATGAGTGCTGAAAAATGCATTGGTTGCTAGTAAATACACCCAAAGGGATTGCTGTGAGGAAAATGTTAATGTTGGCTGAATGTGAGAGATACTGGCATTGTTTGTCTTCTACTTCATCTGATGATCTAAGAAAAGAAGGCAGACTCTTGGAGTATCTCTATGCCAACTTTCAGATTGGGTGTGCTGCTTTATTTCATAGGGCAAATTGTGCATAGGTCATGGTTTGATTTTTTGTTTGCTTGTTTTTGTGTGTGTATGTGTTGACAATGACAATGTGTTGCTTCATTGCTCTATATTTATGTTCTCTAGTTTATAAACCTTCCAAGACTGGCAATCAATAACTTATTACAGTAGATTATTGTCACATTTTAATTTTTTTAAGTTTTCAAGGGATCATAATAAAAAGTTTGGAGAGACTACATTCAGAATTACTAGTCTAACCCTATTTTTTTAATATTTACTATTGAAAGTATTACATATGTCCCCTTTACTCCCCCATTACTAACCCTGTTTTAAGCTGGCATTTGGATTGGATTGGATTGGATGTTACTTCTTATACTTGGAATGACTATGCTGTTGCCATAAGATTTCAGCTAATACATTTGTTCTACCATAAACACACATGTCAATTAGAGGACTATTTTGTCTCTGTGCTCAGCAGCTTCCACAAGCATGTTATTATCCACAATAATTGGAAAACTCATTTTGATGTAATCTCTGAAAAAAACTGCTACAGTGGATGAGGTGTCATTGTTTGCTATCACACTTTCTTTGTGAAGTACAATGAGAAATGAGTTGACCAAGAGACAGAATTTTCAAACCTGCCTTTAAGGAAACACTGCAATTACTAATGGTAATGACAAAATAAGACTTCTAATGATAGGCTTGCTTTCCAGTGGCATATATTTCTTCTTAGTGCAGATTGACATTATCATCTTTCTTTTCCTAAAGAATAATCATTAGATACAAGATCCATCATAAGCATCACCCCTCTGGTTTCCATCTCCCCAAAGTAGAGTAGGTGTTTGCTACTCTATTCTCCTACAGAAAGCTATTCATATCTTTCCATATCGCTATTACCCACTTTCCTCATTATATTGTAATTATCTGCTCATCTGTCAAGTCTCCCTAAAGAGATTTTGAGATCTTTGAGAACAAGGAGTATTATTATTTATTTGTATAGCTTCAACACTTACCACAGTGCCTAGGACACAGTAACACTCAAAACATATTAGTAAAGGGAGGAAAGGAGACACATAGGGAATAAAACAAAGAGGGAGGGGAGGATATAAAAATAGCCTGAATCAAATTAGAACATATTAAAATCATGAGAATATTAATGACTGCTTAACCTTCTCAAATTCTTTTGTGGAGTTAGTAGTCCTCATCCAAGTATTCTAGTCCCTTCTAGAGAAACAATTTTTACTCTATCTGTCCTCAGAATGGTACATTTATTTGCTTTCTTATTCTATCTAATTAAGAAATGAGTAGAAGACTGAATACATATATAGTAAGTGCACAATAATAGCTACTGAATAAATCCATGAGTAAATAAGTGAAAACTTAACAATAAATGAGTACCTAAGGCAGAAAGTTAAAAATGAAACCTTGTTTAACGACCCATAATTTTCATAATGTGCTTGAAATACTTTAATTCTTTAGTAAAGTGATTGACAGTTGATGGTGCAATACTGAGAGAGATGCATTTTGTAAAATGTTGTTAATTAGATAGGGACAAATTCACCATAATTGTCCTTTGTGTTCAAAGTGAAAGCTGCTGACAGCCATGTCCAGGTGTATTCTAGACCAATAACTTTCTAGTCACTGGTTTGGCTCTGCTGTCTAAAAAGCAAAAGAGTTGTTAATTAGCAAGTGAAAATAACACTTGATTGACTCTTCTAAATTAGATTTTGTTGATCTGCCAAAGTGAATTTGTCATTAGAATTTATTAGAAACACACACACACACACACACACACACACACACACACACACACAGTCCCTTAAAGGCTTAAGCATCCCAGATTGTTAGTGGTATTTTCTTTGCACTATCTAATAGTGTGACTGAAAAAAAACCCCAAAGTTTTGGAGTCAAAGGCCTATGTAAAAAATGTCAGCTCTTTTTCTTTCATCTGTTGGCCCCAGGCATACTGTTTAACCTCTCTGAGCTTCAATGTTCCAATATATAAAATGATGATAATAGTGCTTTCATTGTAGGATTATTATGAGATTCAAAAGAGATAAGAAATGAAAAGGACTACCTGTGTCTAATATCATGCTGGAGTTTATTAGATGCTTGATAAATCTAAACAGAATTCTTTAGGTTAATCCTCTCATGACAATAAGTTTGAAGTTTTTTCTGGCTAGATTTATGAATGCATTTATTCAGTGTACATGTGTTGGGAGAATACTGTATAAAAGACATATTTGATAGATGCTAAATATTATAATTGCTATCTTCAAGGGGGTTATGATTCATTTAGGGAGATAAAATGCATGCACTTATGACTAAAGTACTATGTAAGATATTATATGATGAGATATTATTTGATTATTTTTCCTATAGCTAGATTTAATTATCCCCATAATTAGTCTCTTTGATCATTAAATGCAAGTTTTTGTTATTTTTTAATCAAACAGTGTTACTGTAATCCAGTGATTTTCAATCTTTTTTCATCTTGTGGCAAACATAAACTAATTAGTAAAATTCTGTGGCACACTAAAAATATATTTTTGCCAATCTGACAAAAATAGGTATTATTTTGACCCATTCATACCAGACAGCTATTGTATTGGCTATTGTCATCTTTTTAATTTGACAATCTAAGGGAAAAGAGGTCAGTGCCCCTGACTAAACAGGTATTGAATTTTTAAAAACATGTGGAACGCAGGTTGAAAATCACTGGTCTAATTGCATAGTTGACCAGCCAAATCACTCTAATAACTAATATATTAGTTCTCCATTGTAACAACAAACTTTTAACTCTCTCTTCCTCTAGTTCAGTGATGGCAAACCTTTTGAGCTCGGCGTGCCAGCATTTTGAAAAACCCTAACTTAACTCTGGTGCCGTGTCACATATAGAAATTTTTTGATATTTGCAACCATAGTAAAACAAAGACTTCTATTTTTGATATTTATTTTATATATTTAAATGCCATTTAACAAAGAAAAATCAACCAAAAAAAATGAGTTCGCGTGTCACCTCTGACACGCATGCCATAGGTTCGCCATCACTGCTCTAGATTTAAAAAGCCAAAATTTGTAAGAGTATTTTCAATAATTCCCTTTATTTTGTTAGTGAATATATCTTCCATTTCCTGACACAAGCATTATTGTAATAAGTAAATGCAAAGGCGCCCAAACTGGCTTTGTTATTATGAGTTTTTCCCCCAGAGTGTGTGTGTTTTTCCCCAGAGTCAAAATCATTCCATGATGCATAAAGGAAAAGAAATTCATGTTAGTGCTGGGATGCCAGGCAGTGTTTTGTTAACTGGGCCTTTTTCTACTAAAGTAAACAAAGGGAAAATAGTGATGAGAGAATAGTGAAGGATAAAGATGAATGAAAGTGTAGGGGTGATAGATAACCTAATAATGAATAGAGAACGGTACAGGCTGAAAACACATGTGAGGGTTAAGGATACTAACTCATATTTGAGTGCTTAGTGCCAGCCAGCTGAAAGACACTCAGTGCTTTATATCCGAATGCCAGTATTTCACATTAAAGTTTGAACTTCTATAATACTTTAACAGTTGCCCCCCAAAAAACCTGTTTCATGCTTTAGTTGTATAAACATCGTTCACAAAATACTTTGCTAAAATTGGTACAAATTAGAACTGGCCATATTTATCTCAATTAGTAAACAACTAAAAGTTTTGCTATGTGTTTTTTCTAAAATGAATAGTAATTTCTGCTTCTTAAAAAGAAACTAGACTATCATTAAACTGTGGACAAGCTCTCATGCTTTCTTGAAGAGTGTAATGTTGTAGTCATTCTCTTCACCATTCTTTATAACACCACTCTATAGTTCTGCGCACTTATAAAAGTCATTTAACTTCACTGAGCCTTAGTGTCTTCATCTATAAAGTGGAGGTAGTGCTTGTATTTTTAAGTGAGAAAAATATATCTTACAGTAAATATTATATGCATAAGTATTGCTATTATTAATATTACTTGTTTTTCTTCACTCTTCTCTTGCCAATTAGGAAGAGTTATGTGACCACTCTCTATTAGTTTGAAGGATATCATGCTGAATATGTGTAATTACTAACCAGAACTCCAGATGCAAGGTCCTCATAAATGATCAAGTTCAATAAATTGCCGAGAAAAAAGAAAATGAGAAATAAAATGATCCTTAATAAACATTGTTATTCTCTTAAAAATAAATAAAAAATTAACTAAATATTTTTCCATAAAAACAATCTATAGAAGTGATTTCATACTAGAGCGATGGAAAGACAAAATCAGCCCTTTGTGCTGGGCAAGTCCAGATTCCAAAGCCAAAATTTACAATCACTACAACTAGAGGGAGAGTAGTAAGTAATTTCATTCTATAAAGTAAGCTTGAAACTAAGAAAAAGAGAGGTTCAAGTGAAAAATAAGTAAAATGTAAAGAAAAAATAATTTTTTGATAAAACACAATTTTTAAAATAAAAGCAACAACTATTGTAGGGAAAAGAAAAGTATTTTTATTTATGTAATGTCACACATTTTTTATTATATTCGAAAGCTTACCTGTGATAGTCCCCTCAGAGAATCAATAGGTTTTATTGTACGCACATTTTCAAAAGACACTTTAGTCTTTTAATAGCAGTTATATTCTTTTAATAGCAGACATATTCCACTTAGAATATAGGAGGAGTTTTTCAGCTTTATTTGCCTTTTAACATTATATAAGCCTGTGCACTGAAAGAAGGCTTTAGGCAAGATGCAAGAACACTGTTAAGCTAAAAATAAAGTTGGGAGGCAATAATAGCACTTTTTTTTTTTTTTTGAACCAAGCACATCTACAAAGCAATAATAATCAAATGTAACAAATACTGCCACTGTCTCTAAAAAGGAAAGCACAGAATGTGCTCTGGAATAGAACCAAACAAATAAGCAGATCCTCTGAAAATGCAAGGCACACTTCCCAAGGAATACACAGCACTGAAATCTACAATAAACAGAAAGAAATATGACAAAGAGATCACATGTATTCCAATCACTGAGACTAGCTAAAGGCTTTCTTAATTGGTATCATCTCAAAGGGTTTCTCCTTCAGAATACTATAGGCATAACGATAACCTTTTATATCAGTACTTCATTTACTGTAGGGCAATTTCTTGTGAGCTTAGGGGATGCCTCTTCGGGAACACCTCACCTCCCACCCCCATAGGTTCTGCTCCACTGTATGATACAACTACAGGTGCTCTCTATCAATGATGAAGAAAGGCTCACTACTCCCCTACTCTACACATAAGAAGACTACAAGAACAACAGACTCATCAGAGAGAGAAGGAAGCAGCAGCAGAAAAAAAATAAGATCGCTAACTCTTCTGTGAGAGGATGAAGTTATACTTCATTTTGTAAGGCACTGAGGATATACTCAAAGGGAAATGCAACTTCTATTTAGGAATGTCCTACCCTAGCAGAACCTTATCCTGAAAAAACAAGTCTCCATTAAGTATGTACATGAATACCCTCAAAGAGAAAATGGTTACATAATTTCAGCACTGTATACAATGGATAATATCCATTTATCTACCTATATGATTCCTAATTCTATCATTGGCATTGTGTAGCTCTGAGAAAAGTACAGGCACACACATCAAAAGCCCTTGAGAAAATGGCCCCCATTGTTATATGTGTGTAATTTCTATTCTAGAAATGCTATCATTATTGCATTATGTGAAAAGCAGATACAATTGGGTCTTTCATAAAAAAGACATAATTCACTGTGACAAAAGCTAGCTCTCATTTTCATTCATTCATTAAAATTATAATATTTATTGAGAGCTTTCTGTGTGCCATAATGCCAGAATATATTACTGATGTTGTTTAGCTGAGTCAAACACGTACACATACAAATATATAAAACTCTGTGAAAAAAAGTCCTCCATTTTTACATGTGCATAATTCCTGTTATATAAGAGGTATCATTTTCTATTATACTAAAAATGGAGATATCTGGGACTGTCAAGATAAAGATATAATTCACACTGAAGAGAGCTTGATCTTACTTTCATTTATTCATACATTCAAAAATAGTTATTGAGAGTCTTCTATCAGCTCAGAATAGCCTGCAGTCCTAGAGAATAGAATATGGAGCTAATAGCGCAGAGGGAGAGGCAGAATTTAAACTAGCAACAAGTGTTCTAGGAGGATGAGTGTTCAGAGAAAGGCGGTAAAGGATGCTATGGGAGCACCTAGGCCAGTGAAGATTAATCTGCAAATATTCCCCTAAGGACTTAATATTTGGTTCAATAGGCAAGTGAGACAGTTTCCAGCAAAGGCAATAGCATGTGTAAAACTCCTAAGGTAAAACACAGAAAGTGACTTTTTTTTTTTTAGGAACAGAGAGAGAATATAGATACAGATTTACTAATAAGTGGTCAGAAACAAGGCAGAAGAGATCATCAGGGTCAAATTTCAAGTTATTTTATCTCATTTCTTGGGAAAAGATTTGAATTTTATCTCAAGCCCTAGTGAACTCAAGAAAGTGGTCTAATTAGGTAAGTGACAAGGTCAAATTGGCATTTTATCTCTCTGGTTATGGATAGGGAGTAAATCTGAACAAGGTAATCCTGGAGTCAAAGAGACTGAATGTGAGGAATCTTAACATATTTGAGTTAGCAACAGTAAATGAGGGTGGCTTGTGTTAAAGTAGTTACAGTGAGGACGATAGAAATATACGGAGAGGTAATTGGATGGCAAAATCAGCAGGACTTGGACAAATATGCACACAGAAGATACAGGAGAAGTAGAATCAAGGATAGCACCATCTGAATTGGAAAACTGGGAGAATGGTGCTATCAACTGATAAGACAGTAGCACATGAGGAGATGTAGGTTTAGGGGACCAAGAAAGATGGTAAGCTGAATTTTAAACTTGATGAATGTGGATGCCAGTGGGCATCTAAATAAAAATATCACTGTCAAAGGCGGGGGGAAGAAAAGGACACATATGTTATACCCGTTGTAATACTTTAAGCAATAAAAAATAAATAAATAAATAAATAAATAAATAAAAATATCAAAAAAGATATCTAAATGGTAATTTGGGTCTGGGATTCAGGAAAGGGCCTAGGTTTGAGATATAAATATGAATGCAATCAGCTCTATCAAGTCTGTGATGTCACATAAGGAAGAATGTGTAAACAAAAGAAGAGAACTCCAAAAGTTACCAATATTTTTAAGGGAAAAGATAGCCACAGAGGCAACTGAGATGTAGTCATGGAGGGAGAGGTGTAGTTTAACAGAAGCCAAAAATAGACTTTGTTTCAAAAAGGAAGAATTACTCTGTACTATCAATTGTTACTGAAGACCAAGAAAGATGAGTCCTGAATACTATGTCCACTCTCAAAGAGGTCATTTCTGGTACAGGTGAAATCAGTTCCAACAGAGATGGGTTAAAGAGTAAGTGGGAGATGGGGGAATAAGGGTGAGTTCTTTTACCAGGTACTATTCAGAGGAATTTTCTTTTCAGAAAAGATACTGGAACTAATAAACCTAGGTAAGAAGTAGCTACTCTTCTGGACCAAGGACTTATGGTTTTATATTTGAAGGTGTCAATTTTCCATAGATTTCTTCCATCTCTACATGTCTTAAAAACAGAGGCACTGACTGCTCTATGTTCCAGACTTTTTTTCAAGGATGTTTGCACAGCAAACAATCTTGGATAATACAAAGAATATATTTCTCCACAGCTGCTTACTGGCCATTATAAGAGATTTGGTTTGGTGTTTCTCTCCTATAATACAACACAATGAATGTACAAGTGCCACCTGGCCCTCTTCACATCTCCTTGTGCAAACTGGGACTGAAGGCACTGACACAAAAAATGATGGCTCTCTGGCTGCTGCTATTACAAAGAGTAATAAAGTCTTTTGTCTCTGGCTGAGGAGTTTCATGACTTCTGCCAGTATCCGTGAACCTGTGGTAAGCTGTCCATCAGTTTGCAAGCATAGCAAAATCTCAGATTCTTCTCAATTCTTGAGTTTAACTATTTTTACCTTTGTCCTGGTCCTGCTCAGAACTTTGACTTTTCAGCACCTATGCCAACTAAAATGTTAAATTGTTCCGATAAAGAGAAATAGCTTACTGTTTTATGTTATATTCTCTGAAATATATACTGTCAACTCCAATGTAAGCTATAGACCAGCAGCATAAATTAGAAAAATGAGACTGCGTCCTGCACAACACTGACAAGCTTGCAGGACAATATTTCTTAGTTTTGCATTTGAGCACATCACTTAGAGTGCATATTTCCTGGTTATGTTCACTCTGCATACATATACACAGCATTAACTGCAGTACTGTCATTTTAATGCCAAGTTACCTATATGACACAGACATATGATTTTAGTAAAGCACCACAGAGTGAATAATTTATGAATGATAGAGGCTCTTTGGAAACTCATTATAATTCTTAAAAGAATGGTATCTAATCTATAGATGATTATTTCTTTTATAAAAAATTGAAATATAATAGACTCCTAAAGGGTCAAATAGAATCCAAATACATCTTGTGTTAAAGTCAACACTGGGTAAATTAAGGTTGACTTGAAGTCATTTATGCTAGCTGTGAGCCTTGTTGGTTAAAATTATCTAAAGTTTTCTTTGAGTAAGTTAGAATTTCTCAATATCTTTTAATAGTTTGTGTTCCCTTATGTAAGTGTAGACCCTATAGCAGTGATGGCGAACCTATGACATCAGAGGTAACACGCGAACTCATTTTTTGGTTGATTTTTCTTTGTTAAATGGTATTTAAATATAGTAAATACATATCAAAATTATAAGTCTTTGTTTTACTATGGTTGCAAATATCAAAAAATTTCTATATGTGACATGGCACCGGAGTTAAGGTTTTTCAAAATGCTAACACGCCGAGCTCAAAAGGTTTGCCATCACTGCCCTATAGGCTCAAAATTACAGAAAACAAATAATGTTGACCTACACTTGATTAAATATTCAGTAAACAGAAAAGCAACTGAAAACAAAATAAAGCTAAAAGAACACATACAGAAGGGGTATGTGTATACATTTAGGTCAATGGAACCGAATTATTAAAAGAAACTAATTGTCACATTGAAATCATAATAAATGGAGCAGATATTAACAGGGACAAAAACTAGAAAGATGAGATATGTGTATTCTTTAAAGTCTGTTAAGACCATCAATATTCAGATTACTCTCTATCAGACAGAACTTGTATCAGGGTTGAAAAGGAGGTGTGAGTAATCAATTAAATGCTTGAGATTACAAGTAGGAGGGAACATTTTTTTTAAATCACTCCAGGACGCTCTGGGCATAATCACTGCCAGAAACACTATGTCCTGAATTCTAAGTAAATTTTCAAAGATAGAGCTAACTAAATGTAATGTGAAAATCCCCTCCAGTGAAAAGTAACAACTCAAAACAGATATATCTATGAAACACAAAACTTTCAGTTTTCATTTTTTGCAAAAGCTCTTTTTGGAATGTAGTAGTTAAATGCCACAAATTTCTACTTAGTAGAGAATCTAAGCAGATCCTATAAGTACTGAGAATATACCAACCCTGGATTATCACTAATAGTCATCTGAAAAAGATGTAGCATTTAACATAAAATATTGCCAGAATAATTATTCCTCTTCACATTTTATAGTTTTCACTTGTTTTTATAAATATACTATTATGTCAACAAATAGAAATTTTTATCAGTAATAAAAAAATACCTTTAAAATGTCCATTATCCTTTCCAAACTCTCAAATGGTATCTTCCAAAGAAATTGATCGGTATAGGAACTCTATAATAATAAAAGTATAATATGCTAATTAGACTAGACAACCAAATGACCTTCCAGATGTCCTTCCAGACATCCTTTTGGACAACCTTCCAGATGAAGCTGGGACTGCGAGGGCAGAGCCCCTTGCACAAATTTTGTGCATCCGGCCTCTAGTATTTAATAATCACACTTAAGGCAGGTGAGTTGATAACTTATAGAGATAAGTCAAGTCATCAAGAAAGTAATAGCTAAACTTGCAACCTCTTTTAGAAAATTATTGACTTCAGTCCACAGGATACAGAGGAAAATACAACCTAAGGATGGCATTAATAGAAACTCCCATTCCATCTTGTGACCCAAGTGGTTCAATTACCTACTATGTGTGTGCCAAGAGTTAAAATCTCTACCTTATTGAATGAAAGAGAAACAAAGTGGCCAACTCCTGCTTTAGCTGAGAGGAGTCTGTGGAAATCATAGCACACGTATTAAGCTTGTTAAGTTCATTCTCTAAGTATTTGAGCAGTCCAATTTTTCTCTGCCCATCTGTTCTATCATCTTTTCATCAGAGAGCACTGTTCTGAATAATGGGTAAACATCACTAACGCAGGACCTACAATCTAGGAGCTGCTATGGTTTACCATTACCCATTTTTAAAAAGGTGCTGTTTGTGTATCTGTGGTGTAGTGTGCAGGTGCACAAGTTCTGGTGGACAACATGTAGGAGAGAAAGGCAAACAAAACCTGTATCCATGGGTATGGAGAAAAGTTTAAGAATATTAGTTAATATACATGATGGAAAATCTTATAATCTTTAGCCAGGAAAACATCTTGGATGAATCATTTTGCCTATTCTCATCACATCTTCTTTCAACATAGTTATATACTTTTATTAGTACATGTTTTTAAATCTTCAGAAAATAACCCATCATAGTTCCATCATGATGTTTCACAGATGGTAAAAACAAAATTTTTATCTCAAGCCCTAAAATCCTTCTTTACTACTTTACAGGCTTACCCCTTTGTCTGATCTTTAGAAAAGCAGATAAAAATTAGTCAGCATTATCCTTAAAATATGTTTTTACCCTTCATCAACATAGAGAGAAAATATGATATAAGAGAAAGAACTTGAATTAAGGTTAAACAAAGCTAAAGTCACGACTCCAACAATTACTGAGATAAACCAAACCAAGGAAGCCACAATGTAACTTAATTTTTGTTCTCTCAGCTGTTACTTGGGACTACTGAAATATTTATTAGTTACTACAAAGGCATGTGATTTCAAATGAGATAGTGGAAGTGATAAAGCTTCCAAAGGTCTACTACACTTTAAGTCTTCCATCATAGAAGCCAGTACTATTCCAGCCAAATATGAATTTCTCATCTACATAATTGCATTAAAATTTCCTTTCCAAAAAAGTTGATTTTAAAATCATATCTAAAGAATCCTATATAATAAAAGCCTACTATGCTAAGTGTCCAGTTGTCCAATCAAAGAGTAATATGCTAATGATATGCTAATGCCACTCAACTGCTTGCTATGACATGCACTGACCACCAGGGGGCAGATAGTCAACTGGTCGGCCAGTCGCTATGATGTGCCCTGACTACCAGGGGGCAGATCCTCCAACTGGTAGGTTAGCTTGCTGCTGGGGTCTGGCCAATGGGGACTGAGTGAGTCAGGCCGGAGCCCTGCCGTAGTCCCTCCCCGCTGGCCAACATCCCGTATCCCTTCCCAGACCTGACTGTGCACCGGTGGGGTCTCTAGGCCTGGCCTGCACCCTCTCACAATCCAGGACCCCTCAGGAGATGTCAGAGAGCTGGTTTCGGCCCAACAGCGGAATGATCAGTTGCTATGACGCGCACTGACCACCAGGGAGAAGACGCTCAACACAAGTGCTGCCCCCTGGTGGTCAGTGTACTCCCACAGGGGGAGCGCTGCTCAGCTAGAAGCCAGGCTCATGGCTGGTGAGCACAGCAACAGTGGCAGGAGCCTCTCCCACCTCCGCGGCAGTGCTAAAGATGTACGACGGACGGCTTAGGCCCGCTTCTCGTGGGGAGCGGGCCTAAGCCATCAGTCAGATACCCCCTGAGGGCTCCCAGACTGCAAGAGGGCACAGGCTGGGCTGAGGGCCCTCCCCCCCATTGAGTGCACAAATTTCGTGTACTGGGCCTCTAGTATAATATAAAGTAGCCAGATCAAATAGCTTAAGTGCATAGTAGATGCTCAATAGGTGTATATAAAGCCACTGTCCCAATTCAAATTATATAACAGATGCTCAATAAATGAAAATTATTGCTAATAATAGTATTTGAAGTAGTAACAATGCTACTAATCAATTATATTTTTGCTTTATTTATAGGAGAAAGAATTGGAACAATTTATATTGATCATCTTGTGTACTAGAAACAACATTTGATATTATATGAAACACCTTAACACCAAAAATTAGATATTAGTTTCCCCATTTTTTAGATGTAGAAAGAGAGACTTGAACAGATTTTATAACTTACCAAAAGCTCACAGCTCAAACCAACTTATGTTCAATTCTAAAGCTGCTCATGTCCAATTACAATCTATTGCCTCCCAAAAGTTCAAAGTTAAGAATTGTATCCTTAGAAAAACATAGCTAGTGTTAAATAAATATGTATATCAGAAAGTAATCCTTCTGTTTCTACTCTTTAGCCATTTACCTAGGCTTTAAAATTTTTAACAGCTGTTCTCTCAGATTCCTAAAACACAACTATATATATTAAAGCCTAAGTGACCATTACGGATGGTTGACTGAAGGACCAGTCGACCAGTCACTATGACAAGCACTGACCACCAGGGGCAGATGCTCAATGCAGGAGCTGCCTCCTGGTGGTCAGTGCACTCCCACAGCACCTCCTATAGTCCCTCCCCCTGGCTGGCTGGCCCCGATGGCCCTGATGGGCCCCAATCACCGGCCAGGCCTTGGAACCCCATCTGTGCATGAATTCATGCACCGGGCCTCTAGTTAAGAGATTAAAGAAAGTGTTAGTTTTATTGGTTAAACATAGCTTTAGTATTTTGATTTCTCTAACAAATATAAAGAATTATAGTAATACATGTAATTAAAATTTATTTCATTAAATAATTCCATTACTGTATTAAAATGCTTCATTAAGAACGGCATTTTTAACACATTCTAATGTATGTGAACTCTGTTTTGCCATATGTCAATATTGTTCTACTAGTAATTATATTCCAAAAATGCTTCTCTCTCTAAATAGCTCATAATTATTTAAATAATTACATAATAGAAACTGTCCTTGGAGTATATAATCCTGTAATCCTGCTGCTCTTTTAAATATGTGCAAATATTGAGATTGGGAGGCACATTTAAAGCTTTGAAGATTATGTCAGGACTATTTTCAACAAAAATGACAAACTAGGGTCCAGTAGTTTTAATTACTCTAGTACAGGGGTGGGCAAACTTTTTGACTCAAGGGCCACAATGGGTTCTTAAACTGGATCGGAGGGCCGGAACAAAAGCATGGATGGAGTGTTTGTGTGAACTAATATAAATTCAAAGTAAACATCATTACATAAAAGGGTACGGTTTTTTTTTTTTTTTTTTAGTTTTATTCATTTCAAACGGGCTGGATCCGGCCCTCGGGCCGTAGTTTGCCCACGGCTGCTCTAGTATCATCTTTATGGAAGTTGTTGTTTTTCTGTTTACAAATTTTTCAAATTTGTGAAAATGTAATGATATTTATATTTGTTACTTATCCTTATTACTTTTAAAGCCTTCATGATCCTAGACTATTGTCAAACTTTTTTATAAATCAGCCCAGTTCTTTTTACATTGAACATTCTATATTTGGAGCTTTAAGCTTTAATATATATTTTGACCAGGCACTTACCATTGCAATTTCTGGATAAAACACATACTTTATTTACTTCAAATGTAGTCTTACTACAACATAGCAATGGAAAAATGCATTCCTGGAAAATGATAGGTTAGGAAATCCAATTCAAAGCAATTCTTTTGAGATCTAACAAAACAAAACAAAAAAATCTAATTACCTGTTTTAATATTGAGTCCATGAGAAAACTTGTAACACAGAAAAAAATTTCACATTTCAACCCTAGCCTAGTTCTGTTGCTTTTGGCTCCTGGACAATAGGGAATTCCATTTTCAAATCCATTCTGGTGTGAACTCAAAGCTATTCCAGGCTTTTCTGCCCATACATTTCACCAACATGCACCATTTCTTAACACTGAACCTGGTTTTATTTTATTTTTTTTCTATTACAGACGCCGCTTACCTAAAGTAGTCATTACTCTTCTTCCTTTAGCATTTGACTAGACCCGTTCACACACAGAAAGAAGCAAGCTCAGATTCAGATTAGCCCAGTCCAGTCACAGAAACATGAGCATCAAGCACAAACTCAGATCCCATAGAATTGCTGACTCATATAGGTGTGTGCACAGTGTCACAGTTAATATTAGGACTGGCTCATACATTATCTTTGGCCACACAACTTGTTCAAAAGACAGATTAAAAGAAGGATAGACTCGCATACTTTCATAGAGAAACATACATAGACGTTCTTATTTATACACCCACAAGTCTCCTCTAGGATATCCAAGAGGAAGGCAAGAAAAAGATAATAGTTATACAAAAATAGTAATCTATAAGCATAAGACTATCCAGAGTTATCTGTGAAGAAATTGGCATACTTGTGAGGAATTTTCCTTTTAAATCCCCATGGCACTGTGAAATTCTTTAATGACATCTGCCATATAATTTTGTATTATCTACCTATCTGTCTTATTCCCCAAATTATCTGAATACTAAACCAAAGTGAGAAGTCTCAGGCTTGGCAAATGGCTGGATTTCCAGGAGCCTGTTCTTGTCAGCATCTTTAGGACATGAAGCAAAGGGAATTAAAATCTATTAAGTGACAGTGGACACAAGAAGAAGAAAAATGTCCAAGGCACCTATCTAAAGGTTGATACCAAGACTCAGAATAAGAGATAGACTCAGGAGGCAGAAC